GCCATTACCCGGCTTCGGCTGAGATCAGTTTGTGAATGTCTAATCTAATGACCTATTAAGGAACTACTCATGCAATAGGCTGCCACAAAGGTCCTACGAATGCTCACAACCCTCAGGATCCCTAACAAGCCCTTCTAAAACTTTCCAACACAGTCTTACTACCTGCTGAGCTCTTCCAGGCCTCACGCCCCCACCCTACTGAGTTACAGGGCAACACAACTCACCCCAGCTCCGACCAGCGTCGTCCCAGCAGCAAACCTTGGCTGTCCCTTGGGATGCCCACCCCAAAGCATCCCCAGATCTCTCTACCAGGCCTCACGCTCCTGCATCAGCAGGTTATAGGGCAACACCCTAGCACCGGCCAGCGTCGTTCTGGCATAGAACAACCGCAGATCACTGAGCATAACCGCTTTAAAACCGCCTAGGATGGGTTACTAAGAATCCCTAGAGTCCTAAGACATTCATAAGAACAACCGACAAATCTTTTTTTTTTTTGAGAACAATCTGTGAACAGGATGAGATTCAGAAACATGGCGTGGATCCTGAGTATCTAATGCCTATTAGGGAATTACTCGTGCAATGGTCTGCCACAGAGGTCCTACGAATGCTCACTACCCTCAGGTTCCCTGACAAACCCTTCTAAGACTTCCCAACACCGTCTTACTCCCTGCTGAGCTCTTCCAAGCCTCACGCCCCCACCCTGCTGGGTTACAGGGCAACACAACTCGCCCCAGCTCCGACCAGCGTCATCCCAGCAGCAACCCTTGGTCGTCCCTTGGGATGCCCACCCCAAAGCATCCCCAGATCTCTCTACCAGGGCTCACGCTCCTGCATCAGCAGGTTACAGGGCAACACCCCAGCACCGACCAGCGTCATTCTGGCATCGAACGGCCACGGATCACTGAGTATAACAGCATCGAAACCGCCTACGATGGATTGCTAAGAAACCCTAAAGTCCTAAGACATTCATAAGAACAACCGACTTCTTTTTATTTTTAGACTCTACCAAGTCAATAGAATATGTGTGTCAAAAAGCCTCCCCATCACAAATCAGATAGGTGAAACCTATTCAATCCACCTACGACCACCACCAGCATGGCTAATTTCAGCACGAACCGAAGCTCTTCCAGGCCTCATGCTCCCATCAGGTTAGGTTACAGAGTTGCACCACCTTGCTCCAGCACCGGCCCGCATTGCTCCAGTTACGACCCCCGATGACCACTGGGACTGCCCCCGCAAACAGCCCCCCAGAGCTCTCTACCAGGCCTCACGCCCCCACTAAGCTAGGTCACAGAGTTGCGCCACCTGGCTCCGGCTCCGGCCAGTGTTGCTCCAGCATCGGTCTTCGAGGGCCACCGACTTTTCGACCACCCCTCGGAGGATCACAGATGGCTTGCCAAATAACACCTATTCCTACAACCTCCTCGAGAGGCAACCAAATGGAGCAGTAGCTTCTTCTATATCTCCTACTACAACATAAAAAGCCTGCTCAAGTTGAGAACAATGGAAACGCGCTCTGCTGCCTCAAGATTTGAACCAGTGTCGAAATGCAATGGTTCCAATCCTCCTCTTACTACAGCTACTAATTCCAATTCAGTCTCTTGACAACGGACGTACTTCTGAGGACGAAAACCTTCAAAGGAAGCCATGGGCTGAAGGTTGCTCCCACAACACAACTATCGACTGTCGGAGCCTCCGTGAACAACGACCATTTCTTGCCCATGCTGACACCTGAAAGGATTTCAAGCTACAGACCCCTAAAAGCCCGACACCCAATCCCCAAAGTTCTGGAAGTTTCCAAATCCCAAGCCCAAGGGTCCAGTACAGTAGGCACGATAGGCAGTAAGGGCCGTCGTAGGTCCGGTACCCGACGAAAAAGTCGGGAAGGTTGAGTCGTTGTGCAGCCAATCCGGTACCTCACAGAAGAGTCCAGAAAGTCCAAGTCTAGTCCCCAAGTACACAAAAATTGCAGCATGTCCCAGTAAAGTCCGCGAAGCTTACGGACCGACAAAATAATTGCAGCAGACAGGTCGTGGCTGACCGGTACTCGTCTGAAGCGGGCCAATCCACAACCAGTCCTATATTTAGCTGCAACAGGGCAGCGGCTCATCATTTGTTCGTTCGTGGAGTGGCGGAAGCGCTGCTTGTGCTTGTGTGACCGAGCGACTTGGGCAAGACCGCGCTCAAAGAAGAGGGGAGCGCCGACGTCAACCATAACTAGGGTCGTGATAGGGAAGCAGGGTGGCCATAGCCACCATGGTTGGAGACTGATCTCAACAGTTGTATCCAAGGCACGATCCAAAGGCAGAAGAGAGAGAGAGCGAGAGAGAGAGAGAGAGAGAGAGAGAGAGAGAGAGAGAGAGAGAGAGAGAGAGAGAGAGAGAGAGAGAGAGAGAGAGAG